CAGAAGTCACTCATGCCATTATGAGTTCAGTCACACAGCAATACTTATGGTGACCAGAGCAGGCATACCTTTCTTCCTCAAACTGCAATGTGCAGCTAGTTTAAAACATAAAAATTAAAAATAATAAAGCACCTTACCTTTTTTTCTTTTTTTATTAAAGACTTTGCATTGCACATCACTCTGAATCACATTCAGCAAACTGACCACCAGTGTCACGCATAAGGTACACTGCCAGCCATAGAGGTGACAGAGAAGCCAGCTCACCGGACCATCCTATGTTTTATAACTAATTGCCCACAGTGTATCTACAAAAACAGGTCACAGTCAGGGAGAGACTAGAGAATTTATTTTTTTTCCTCCAGGGAGTTGGTTATTTTTGCTTGCTATTTTGTTACCCAAAAATCAATATAGCAAGTGGAGGCTATTGCCTGGCCATAGTTACCAGGAGTTCACACACAGAAAAAGCACAGTTGTCAAGTGTACATGAACTCAGAGACGAATTTCATTTAGACAGAAGCAGGGTAAAAAAAAAAAAAGATTGTATGCATCAGCAACCATTACAGTGACAGATACAGAATTCGCATGGCTCCAGAACTAACATTCTAGTACTGGAGGCACACTGGTACTTTACATCCAAACTCGCCCTCTGAATAACCTCTAGCTCCATTTTATATCACTCCTATTCTGTTTTCAGCAACTATGTTCTGCAACTCTATTCTCCAGAAACATATTAAAACCAAGAAACATAGAGACATAATTACTTTCCAGAGAGGCACATCACGCTCATATTGGAGTCAGAGAGACCCCAAGATGACTTCACACCAACAGCCCATTTCAAATTTCAACAAGCTGCTTTCTTTTCAACCTTTTTTCTTTCAACCAGGTGTTCTTTCCTCTGACAGACATCACCTTCTCTCGCATCTGACCTGATCCACTCTGAAAGAATCAGGATTTGTCACTAATCTATTTCAGCTTCATATTGCTGAGCTGAAAGCCCTTTTAACTGGCACATTTGTTACTGTTTCTGTAGTTCTTCACCAGTGACCTTGTCCTTCCAGTTTTCCCAGATCAACTACTACCAGATGACAAAACAACTAACTAGTACTTGACATAAAAAGAAAGAAAATAAGTAGTGCCACACTACTTTTCTAAAGGCTTCCAACTAGAGAAATTGAAAAAACATTTACCTCGTGGACAAAGCCTCAAAGATGATAAACTGAGAAGATGAGCCGCTATCTGGATTTCCTTCCTCTCAATTTCTCAACTAACAGTGCCAACAATTTCCAGAAAACAAGGAACTCCATTTTGAAAAACAGGATGGGAAAAAGGAGTTAGAAGTTATTTTCCCGAAGACGACCACGAGTTTCTCAGGCATCAAAATCCTCATATAGTACAGTGTGATCAGGAGGCTATCTGTGGTCTCGCTGCACAAACAGGGCTAACAACATAAAAGAAAAGGTTGCGAGGCAAGAGGTGGAAACGGAAGCAAAATCACCAGCTTGGAATCATTCCTGTGAGATGTTCACAGAAACTTCTCTCGACCCAAATTCTTTTTAGCATTATCTCACCCATGTTGGATTTGTGACAGCGGAATAGGCTGCAAGAATAGAAACAATACACCTTCTCAGTACCTCTCAGTAGCACATAATCTAGTCTTGCTTTATTAAGCAGGAGGGGTGCAATAGGTGGCCACAAACAACTGTTCTAGCTTGCTATCCTATGAAACACACCCACAAACAGAAGTCCAGGAGAGACCATCACCAGGGACCCAGGGGAACATGACATTCATTTCCATCAATTCCATGTGGCCATGTGGCCTGGGCCTCCCATCAGGCCATTCCACCTCCAGCTCTGCCTTCTAAGTGCCAAAGGTATGTGCACGTCCTGTATCTGTTTTCCCCCCAACCACTGTTCAAGTTTTAATTATTTACTGCTTTCTTATTTAGTTGTCAGCTTGAGCCATCAAAGGGAGCTCAAAGTCCATAGTCCACATCTCAGGCCAACTAGCAGTCATCACCAGTTCCTGCAACTCTTTGGTCTCTAACTCCAAATGTATTATGAAAACTGAGAAGTTAGCAACAACTACAGAGCAAAATTCTATTGATTCTTCATTTTCCAACTCATCTAGGACTAATCAGGTCAGCAACAGCTGGGCAGATGAAGCCCTGGTCTCCACTCAGTGGGTGAGCAGCCTTCACAAAATAGCACAAAATAGTTTCATCAGACCTTTCATTTAAGGCAACCTGAGCTTACTTTATCAATTAATGAAAACTTCTCAGTTTCTCACCTGAAAAAGGATGTTGTAGACTAAGATAAGGCATCTTTAAGCTGATTTACAGATCATTCTCACACACCCTTACTTTGGGTTTAGTACCTTCCACAGCAAAGCAGTCCCAAGTTTGAGCCTGACTGTACTGCCAAAAAGGATCTAACACATCATTCTAATATATTTAAATCTTGCATAAACATAACTCCATAACTCAGCCAGAATCATCAAGTCACATAGAAAAACTCTGTAGCAAAACAACAACATTTATGTTAGAAAAGAGGGCATTTTAGAAGATAACATCTAACACAGATGAATTAATGCAACCTTCTTTACAGCTCAAGTGAACTACAACAATCAGAAAGATTAACACAGTGGAAGGGTGATAGGGGAGCATAACAGCAAACGGACAAGAGCGAATAGAACGGTATTACAAAGGAAAAATGCTCACCCATATCTGAAGATCTAAGCTCACAAGGAAAACTCCAGAAAGGAGGGATTACCAACCAAAGATCTTTCCCCAGCGGCAGTCAGCCCTTAAATGAGGTCTAAGAGAGGTGCAGGTGCAGCCAGGCTCCACCCCTTCTGGTCACACAGCTGAATTGCCTTCACCTGTGCTCCCAGGACTGATGGGGTCCTTTCCCCAGGTGCTCAATCAATGCTTCAAGCTGTGACTCAGCAGTAACCATACACCAATGCATCCATTTTTTTCTTCAAGAGAAGTGCCCTCCACTAGTATTAAAATTTATTTGCCTTTGAGGAACTAAAAAAAAAAAAAAATTATTTAACTTTGTTTCAAAACACCACTGTTCTCTCTGCTATACTGAAGCATTTTGAAGAGTCAAAAGCTCATCTAATCTTTAGGCTATTACAACTGTAATACAGTTCCTGGGCAGCGGTCACAGCACCAAGCCACTGGAGTTAAATAAGTATTTGGAAAATACTTATTTTCCAAACTTATACTATATTATTTTAGACATAAGGTTTGACTTTCGTGTGGTTCTGTATGGAGCCAGGATGATCCTTGGCCCTTCTCACTTCGGACATTTTGCAATTCTATGGTTCCAGACCCCTCTCCTTCCACTCTTTTTTAAACTCCAATGTTCAGCAGTTGTCAGTAGTATTTCTCTATGACTCATTTTTTCCCTACCTTACTATTTTAACTATTATATTCCACCCAGAATTTCCCTTAAAGAACACTAGTTTGACTGCCTGTGCATCACAACCCTCATGTTCTCTTCCCATATTCCACACTTCAGCTGACCTCCCCTTGACCAGCTTATCAGCTGCCAGCATTGAAAAGCTCTTCTGAAGGGAACAGCCCTAAGAGAGGGATGTGCTACAAACACCATTCACCAGGACACACACACACTTTCTTTTTCAAAGAAAGCTCCTCACTGCCTACATGTATATGTTCTGACATACAGGAAACAGCTGAAAGCTGTAGTTTTGTATTTACAGCTTGGAAAACATAGGTATACAGGCAGTAAAATTAATTGCAAACATACACAAATAACACCAACACTCATGTTGTGCGTGCTACTATAATTTAGTATTTTTAATATTCCATAGTATTTTAACCAAATTCAGCTAACTTCAGCTGCCATCTCATTTCACCACTTCCTCCTCAATACACCTCTCACAGTTGGACTTTCCCCATCACAAAGACGTACTTGGAATCTGCCAAAAACACAACACCCTTCACGTGGCCTGAGTATATCTACTCTCACTTGAACACAATACCTGCTGCTACCTCCTCTGACATCTACAACTTTGATATTGATAAAAGAAAAAAACCCAAAGTAAGCATTTGCTTAAGTATTCCAGTGGGAGGGATTTTTTAAATCTCATTAAAACCCAGCTTAAGAAAAAAACACAACCCTGGAGGAAATTCTTGGAGAAATTCCTTTTAAAAGTGCAATTGCCCAGAGTAACATTTCCCATGAAAATTATCTACAGAAACTACTGCCTTTTCCCATGCCAAACATCATCAAAAGCTTCAAAAACTGCAAGCATTTAGTTACTGGGAGAAAAAAAAGAAAAAAATAATAAAAAAAAAACAAACAACTGGGAGGCTTTCTTTTTATCATCAAGCACACCAAAAAATGTCTGGGTTTTAGAATAGGTCTGTGTTTAAAAAAAAATACGTTAGAACAGATGGAGAAAATGGACAATATTTTGCTATACCATGTGTATGGCTTAAGGGTTAACTAAACCATTAGGACAGGCTGCTGAAGGTATGCACACACACATGAACATAGACACACACCCCTCTGGCAGCTCCTGTTATCTCCCCCTGCCGTGCTGGGAGCGGTGATAGTAGAATGTCCAGGAGGATGGGCCTGATGGTCAGCATCCCCTGGGAAATGCAGATCTCCTGGGACAAAACCACATCATACCAGAAGCCTAAGTTCTTGAAACACTAAATAAATATATGAAGAAAAACAAACAAAAAACAACAACATAGAGAAAACCCATGCAAATACTGCATGCACTGGGCATACAACAGCAAAGCCAATCACTTCTGTCACACCAAGAAACCTAGAGGCACTATACTGCAGGAAGGTGAGGCACCAAGGGATGAACACACGCATGCAGAAGAACTGAAGGAAAATGAAGTGGAAATGTGAATGTTCTCTGACTTCATCTCAGACCTGGGCAGAAGAAAGAAGACACATCTCCAGCAGAACATGCAGGAGAGCAAGAGGATAGGGCTGTCCCACCAAGGCTTTACCTTCCCATGGCCATGGTATCTTTGCAGAGAAGTCCAAACTGGCTGCTCAGTCACACAGTAACTTTAACACCTGCAAGCAAAATTACACTGGTATCAGCTGGATAAACAATTCATCCAAACAAACACACGTGCACATAGTACAGCCCTTCTACAGCTGCACTTGAAAAGAACCACTCCTTTCTACAAGTGCAACCAATGTTTTCTTATCCTTGCACGGAACTGATGCAAAATAAACGTAAGAAAAGCAGCAATAGAAACTTGGAGCATCTCTGACATGCATACACAGGGTACAAATGGGCAAAGAACACAAAGAGCCACTGACAAGAAACACTACTGACAACAGCCCTACGCTGCAGCTCACCAGCCCTGCAAAGAAGCACACAGGAGCTCCGCAAGAGATGGAACACATGGGCATGAGGAACTACAGTAGCACCGAAGGTACCTCTTCAAATAAAAACCTCTTTAGAGTATGTTAAATAGTAAGCATTTAGGTTGTACATATTGCTTAATTTATCTTAACTGGAGAGAAAAGAAACAGCAGTCTTTCTCTTCTGTGAACTTTTTAACCAAGGTGAAAGAAAGACCCATGTGTTACATGTACATAAAAATAAATGTCCTGTTAAGCTTGTCACCAGTACCACCACGTCTGCTTAGCTGCTAAGGTCAAGGTCATGTCATCCATACCAAGATGAAAACGGTTTAATTAGAGAACCCACAACACTATAGACAAAGGCTGGTCATTAGAAAAAAGCTAATATAAACCAAGCACAATTATGAGGCATGGAAACCATCAGATATTTGATGAGATGTTAATCTTTAAGCTGGTATCATTCTGCAAGCTAATCATCCAGAGAATAGAAAATCTGTTAAGAATGCAATTAAATGTACTAGTTCCATTAAAATTGAGCTGATATAGTTAATTGTTCTCCTGAAATAGCTAATTCCTCACACCTTCGCTGGAGAGCTTTTTCATCAACTCTGTGAGAACATATTTAAGGGACCACGTCACTCCCCTGTGCGGGACTGTGTGCTTCGATGTCACCCTTCACAAGGTGTGCTGCAGCTCGGCCCGACCTTGAGCTCCCACCTGGCCCTGAGGGAGCACAGCGAGCTCTCTTGGTGGCCGTGCCGTTGGCACCGCATCTGCATTGCCGGGCTTCGGGGAGAGCGGCAACATCGTGCTCTTGCAACACGCCAAAGCAGCTATAAAATACAACCAATGGCAAAGCCACGTCAGATGGTCGCTGTGAGCATCAGCACTTCTGGGAAAAGGATGACTGCTAAACCAGCGCTACAACGAATCTGTGCGTATTCAAAAAGCTCGCAAGCGTTCTGCAGCACTGCTAGAAATTAGGAATAGCAGGCCATTCCTGCTTTTTTTGAGAGAGGCAGAGACTGCAAGCACAAAGGCATCCCGAGAGTGCATCAACTTCGCTATACGGCCCCGCTACGCACCGCGGCGGAGCAGAGTTTACAGGTGCATTTCCAGCCGCACCGCACTGGAGACGACAGAGCCGCACACGGGGGAGCGGGGCCGGGTCGCTCCGCGGCACCGCTTTGCCGGTTACATAATCGCGGCCGCTCCGGGTGCTCTGGTTTCGCGCCGGTCCGTGCCTCCCGCGGCTCCCGCTGCCTCACACGATCCCGACTCCGGCTCTGGGCCCGCCGCCGCGCCCCGGCTCTCTCCCACCCCTCCACCGTTCGGACGGCTCTCGCCGGGCCCGGCACCGCCGAGCCCCGATGTCCGCAGCGCCCCGCGGTCTGCCCCCGCCCCGCCGCTCGGCACCCACCTCCTCTCCGGCATCCGCGGCGCATCCCCGCTGAGGCCCGGCCGGCTGCGCCCCGCCGTTCCCGCTGCCTCGCTCCCTCCCGCCCGCCGCAGCTCCCCGCCCGTCTGACGGAGGGGGCGGGAAGCCGCGTCGCGCCGCAGCCCCGCCGCGCCGCCCCCCGCCCCCGCCCCCGCCCGCCGCCAAGGTGCCCTCCTCTCACCCACCTACCGCGGGGACGAGGGGCCCGGCAGGAGGGGATGGGAGGCCTCGGGGGACGACGGGGAGCGAATCGCGGAGTCGCGAAGCGGGGCTGCGGCGGGCAGCGAGCATCGGAGCTGCGGCCGCCGTCAGGTCTGATTGGGGATGGATGTAAAAGGACGTGGGCAGCCGCGGGACGTGGTGACACGTGGGACAGCGCGGGGCCCGCGCCGAAAAGGGGTCGGAGCGACGGGGGTCCGTCTGCACCGGTGTGGCTGCGCTCCGGTGAGCGCCGTTCCCGGCCGCGCGCTGCCGCTCCGCCCCAGCGCTGCTCTTTGTCCTCTGATAACGGGAGGTTGGGGGAGACACGCGCCAGGTGCTCTCGCAAACCGCGAGACGTTCCTCCCTGGGTTTACATTAGCTTGCTTTTTCTTTTTTTTTTTTTTTTTTCTCCTCCTTTCCTGCAGATCTGCCGTTACAGCCCTCGTGACAGCCATCCCTCCCCCATCCCACCTCGGCCGGCAGAAAGCCAGGCCGCTCACGCACAGCTGCAGCCGAGAGCCACGGGTCGCCCAAATGGGCCAGGATGCGTGCGTATCCATGAAAAGGTATTAAAAGACCTAGAGAAGGAACGGTGGTGGTAATGTCAGTAATACAAAGGGAAAAAAATATGGCATAGTCCACAGAAAAAGTAGTGAAAAACTTACCAGGTTCCAGCAACGCAATTACTGGGCCCAGACCCTTCCTTAAAGCAAAGTAAACAGGCTCTATGATGATGCTTTAACTTTTCCCTCATTTCTTCAACTAGAGATCCCAGATTCAGTGTCACTGCTGTACAGCAAAGGACCATATTGCAGACTGTGTCATACAAAGTCCTGGCTCTTTTCCTATTGAAGCTGAGACAGCCAGAGCAATTCTTCTTGACACAGTCTCCTTAGTCCAGCAGAAGCTTCCCAAATGAAAAAGTATACGTAATCATTGCCATAGCTGATGCTGAGAGGGAGACATCAAAGTGAGTGTAGTATAAAAACACAGATTAAGAAAAATCTCATACTTATTTAAAGGTTAATATCAGAAGTTTAATTTTTTCTCCTATATGAAATAAATAACAGCGCAGGGAGATAAAGGACACAGCTCTTAATCATCCCTTAAGGACAGCATTCAACACCACCACTAATTTCAGTTAAGTGGCCACTCACCATTACCGACCTGAAAAAGAAAACCAAGGACAGAAATGTGTATTTGGTAATTATCTGCCATGTTTCAAACAACTTTTGTGTTCTCTAACAATCTCAACGTTAAAATCCTAAGTGGGTATCCTATAGAGTTGCGTTTTTTTCCCTAACTTGCCAATACTTAAAATGTATAGAAAAGCAGATAAAGTGTTTCTTTCAAATGATAATTCTTGATCGTACATAATTATCCGGAAGCATTCCTTCTAACAGAAGGCTGTAAAAGAGTTTTCTACGCAGATATTTTCTCCTGTCGGTAGCAGTAGTGTTGTTTCTCCACTGCTGCTCGTTGTTAGCATTGGTGCATGCATTTGGGACACTGCAGTCCTCCATTCTGAGTAGCAAACCAGGTGAACCTCCAGTTTCTCTCTCATATTCTGACTAAGCACATCACTGGTTATCTTCGAGTACTCCTTTGGACTGTATTATTTAGAATACTTCTGAGTGAAAAGCGTTGCGCCTAAATAGCCTAAAATTCCTTCTGCAAGGACCAATAATATCTGAATTCTCCCGATGACACAAAATCACTCATTGTAAGAGCCAAAGCGAAGACGTGAGCAGCTGTAAAAGGTCCTCACAGTAGTCAGCAAGTGGGCAGAGACAGAAAAAATTCTATGGCCATAACTGCAAACTAAATAGCAATGAAAACAACCCCTACTAAACATGCATAATGGACTCTAAATTAACCTTTTTCATTGGGAGCTGTTGTGAATAGCTTTCTGCAAACATTAGCTTGCTGCTTAGCGTTAGTTGGGAAGGCAAACAATGTTAGGAATTACTCCAGAAGCAAATGAGAACAAAGTAGAATCGCTCATTGTTGTGTAAATCTCTTGCGTACTTCAGTACTGTGTATGGTTCTGGCTCCTTCATATGGAAATGGAGAACAAGAAAACGTATGGAGCTGAAGGAATAGTCAGGGGTATGGAATTCCATCCATGTGAGGAGAATCCCAACTGTGAAACAGAGAAGGGATTGCCTTCAGATCTATACAGTCACGAATGATGTAGGAACCCGAGAGGAAACAACCACGTACCATTTTTCATTCTACAGGACCTGAGGGAGACAAAGCTAATGATCAGGCAGCAGGTTTAAGACAACAGCTGCAAAGAACTTTGCTTTATGAAGTGTTATTAAATTGCTTGGCTTGCTGTGACACAGCACTACGGAACTGAAGGCACAGATGTTTTTAAACAGGGATTACATGAAGGAATGAACAATAACTTCAGGTATTAAGCACAATAATTTCATTTTCAGTGCCCACCTATTGCTTGCTAGAGCTGTAAGAAGGGACACTCTTGACGTGCCTTGTTCCAGTGCTCCCCTGATCATCACATCGTTGATTCTTATCTTTCCGCTCAGGTGTGAGAAAGAAAGGTCAAACAGATTTCTAGGTATGGAAGCATACATCTGCTTTTTCCCATGTCCTGAGAGAAAGATCATAGTACTTCCTTATCTTCCTGTTTGAGAGTACTTCCATGCCCCTGAAGAGAACGCTTTCCCAGTGGTTCTCTAGTGATTAGCCCTATTCAGTAGTGACAATCCATATGCATCAGTCATCCACATCAACACTGCTTTCTGCTCCCCTTCACAGAAGAATGGGGAGAGAAATTCTGAAGTGTAACATGCTCAGAATATATTGAAAATACTTTCCACTTCCACAGATCATAAGAATAAAATTCCTTGGACATCCTGAAGGAGAAAGGGATAGTAATTTCTTCTTGATTAAGAAATAGTAAAGTAAAGCAGAAACACACAAAGATGCTTTAAAAACTAGCAGCGGGTAAAAGTCCTGCATAGAAACCAGTTTCTAAGAACCATGTTAGAGATGCCCTTATTAAATACAAGAAACTGGAAATCTGACAAGCAAATCTGAAATGAAGTTTGGCAGAACTCCAAGAATCCTTGAAGACAAACATATGATAAATCAACTGGAGTGGTTACATCTCACATAAACAAAATCTGTATGGTTGATACTCTGTACAGCTAGTTATCTCCACTGAGAAAAGAGCTCGTTTCATACCTTATTTCAGCAATAGACAGTAATGCCAAGACTTCATGTTCAGCAGAAGTTACACGATTCCTTTAACGTTTAGACGACTGCGAAACTACAGTAGTATAAACTTGTTAAATATATACACATATGAAGATTTCTGATGCTTTCTATATATACACATAAATAAAATTAAGCGGGCACTATGTAATACAACTGAAATTGTATTGACAGCAGAAGATATATTTTTAAAATATGCAATTGATATAACTTTTATTATGAAATGGAAAGAAACGCTAAGACACATGTATGCTTTTAGAAGTCTATAGGCATGATTCAAACTTGAAAAAAGTCAGCAGTTCAAGACAGAGTACATGCTTTCATATGCCATCGCCTTTGATTTTGTTTCACTGATTAAATATAACCACTCTGCTCCTGCTGTCCTTATATGGAACAGACACGTTAGGAAGGGGATTTAGTGTGCCCATGATGAGGACAATCAAAGATCTGATACTTAAATAACTTTCAGCTTTCTTTCAATTTTGTCTGTTGTTTATCATTTCACTTATGGAAAATATTTCCAGCATGCATTTGCATTTCCAAGTAGAGTTTTTATGTCCAAGTGACTAAATATGCTCTGCTAACATTGTGCTGGATTTCTTAAAGTGACAACCCAAAATGTTACCAATTAGCAGTTTCAGAAAGCGGAACTCTGTCAGATTGGTTGGAAGGATGCCCAGGATATCTTCTTTACCCTCATGGTCGGGATTTGTAAACACTTTCTCTCATTACAGAGCAGATGAGGTCAGCAATTAACTCTTTTAGTCTTAGCAAGGCCCTGCAGATGTTCTGTATTAACAAAGTGTTTCTCCTGTGCTGTTGCACCTTATAGTTGGATATTTCCCTACGGGTGGAACTACCTCCTGTTTGCCAGCAGGCAAAGTGCACATATCCTGAACCTTACATTGTGTAGGTTTGTTTTAAAGACTCAGAAAACTTGCTACAAGAGAAGAGCACAGCAACTTTGCAAATCAACAGGAGACCATTTATCCCAAAGTGATCTCCTGGGAAAGTTAACACTTGCAGCCGTTTAGTGGCATCGCAGCTTACAGCACTGCTTCCACATTTCACCCTATCTACTTCCTGTCTTCTGCTGAATCCTTACCAATTCCTAGATCACCTTTCTGAGAACCTCAAGAGAGCTGAGAACTTGCCTTACGGTCTCTTGAAACTGCTGCCGTATATAAATGCTTCTTACCTTTTCTGGCGTGCCGAGGAGAGCAGCTTCTCCCAAGAAGCCTGGGGGTCATAATGCCTCGCTGGAGCTAGCAAGTTAATTACCAAGTGAAACGCAGGGATTTCTGCCCAAGCTCAAGTTTGCAGACTTACAAGAATAAACTGAGTTAAAAGAAGTTTGAGTAGTCTGGTGCTTATCATTAAAAGAAATAACAATCACCTTACTATTTAGCTCTTACTTCACTGCAGGACAATTTACCTAAGTACAAAAAAAGCCACTTCTAAAAATAATCATTAGCTCATTCACTGTTCCAAATTTCCCTGTTAACGTTACTATTTTTTTTTTTTACTTTTTTTTTTTTTTTTTTTTTTTTTTTTTAAAGTTCTTGTCAAGTTTTAAATGAGAATTTTCTCCTGGCTGAATTTGACTTTGAGATCATACATACAGATTTATTCAGCTTTCGGTATCAGGATGCTACACTGGGTTGGTATGCCATTATGTTCTCGGATCCTCTGTTTAACATTTCAGAGGTGTTAAGAAGTGGTGGGGCAATTATACCAACAATTAGCAAAAACCACATCAAAACAGCATGGTCAACAATCACATAAACATTCAATTGATACGGCAATTACTTGTAATCCAATTAGTGTGGTTACTTACAGTCCACATCCTAAGTGCTAAATAGTGGTACTTGAGCACTGTGTTACCCACAGTGGATGTTAGCTTAATAACTTCCAACCTCTTTCCCACCCAATGTTGTCTGACAAGCTACTCAGAAAATCCCATCCATAACCACCTTTTATTGTGAGGCTTTGTTGGTTGCGCTAAAAGCCTTGTTAAAGAGCAAGAATATTGCAGTTCCCCTTCGTTCACAGTAACATAGGCCTATAGGAACTACTATTCAAATTTCCAACTTTATCATTTAAAAATAAGAAATACAATTCAGGGTGTTTTTTAAATGGGCTATCTTGATTACACTATGTATTTTACTCATTTTCTGCTTGATACTTATTTAATAAGTTGCCCACAACTTGAGTTTTTAAGCTCAAATTTAACACACAAATTTAATTTTACATTTTTTTAAATCATCTTACAAGCTAGCCAGTGGGTCTAAAATTTGCCATTCCTTTAGAACATTCATTCATTTCCATTAATATTTTTTCCCTCACTGATATGGCAATCATAAAAAGTCTCCATATGTAGAAGCAGCATTTAGCAGAATTCAACAGCTCAATGGCAGCCAAAATGCAATCTATGCTATGCCATGTAGAGTCTTAATGCTCTGTATTAATTTATGGCGTTTCAGGTTTGCTTTATTTTTTTTCCTCCATCTCCCCTGACAGTGTAAAGCGCCTGCTTCCACATTACATGAAACAATTACAGAGAAATTCTCCAGTCCACACTGATACATATAAATTTTATACGACTTTTCCTTCCTGTAGTTGTTTCCATTCACGAATAACCCAAAAGCATCACGCGTAGGTGGTGTGGCTGTGTTTCTGAACTGTGGGATGCATAGATCTTACAGTACTGAAGTTATTTTAAAGCTGTGATTTATGGTGTTTATAAAGCACCAAGGCCATAAAGGACCCCTCCAAGCAGCTGCTCCTCACAGCTTCCGTGAAGTATTTTTAGCCAGGCAGAGAGCAAAGCTGACAAGTGCTCTGTGTTACACAGAGCAGCATGTCACTCTTAACTTGCCATCACCAACACAGAGCTGCCTCATTTCATCTTCTAAGGCTTCAGCTGCCAAAGCTGTCTGCGAGCACCTGTAACTTAGAAGCATAGAGAAGCACCAGGCTTGCCCTATGAGGCCTGAATCTTCTCTATAAGTCAACCTGAGTTTGCTGTATTTGTTCCTGCCAAAAGCACAAACTGTGGATGAGGTACCTGATGCAAAACTGTGCTTTAAGTTGTTCAATGACCTCGAGGCAGCTGCAGCCACGGGCTGGGCTGTCAGTGCCAGGAGAAGCAACAGAAACACCATGCAGCTGAGGAACAAAGAAGTTGCCCAAGACAGAATTGCTCAACGGAAAGCACACATTTTTGAATAACAGATAAGTGTTTAAATGCAGTCTTGGTGCAATAATATTAAGAATGTGCTTATGAGAAGTACATGGTGCGCCATGCTGCGAGCGCTGTATATTTGAAAAGAAATGATAAGACAACACTGAACATGTTGCAGAAAAACTTATAAGGTTCTGTGGTTCATTCATGAAGTTATCTATCCACCAAAAGGCTCAAAATCCCTATGCTCAACACCGTGAGCAGGGAACAATTGGCTTCAAGATCACCACAGTTCTCTCCATCTTTTCTCCCTTAATATTTGTTTTTTGTATTCACCTGTTTCTCACAATATGAGAACTGATTTTCCCTAGGAAGCCCCCCCCCCCAGCTTTACCTCTTCAATTAAGACCGTTCTCCATTTTGTTGCCTCAAAACCAGATATTTTTTATTAGTATAGCTTCCCCTTTCCCCCTCCCCCCCATATTTTATCTTTCTTCTGATTCTCTTCCTTATTCTTCCTCATTCTCTCACTCAAATTGTCACTGACCAATTTCTACTAAGAAATGACAAAATATTAAGAAATGAGAGAAAGAGGTGTTTTTTATACGCTGTTCTTGGGTGTCTACTAGAAAAATTTTCTACTTTCATGATAGTTGTAAAGCTATCAGGCTAACTATGCAAAGTAAGGCAAGGCTCTGGAACAACAAGTTAAAATAATCAAACACACACATGGAATTCACGCAAGTGAAAACAGATTATTCGTATTTCAAAAATAAGTGGCTGTGGAAAAAAAAAAAATTAAAAAGTAATTCACAGGAAGAAGATGAACTAGGATTCTGTCTTCTCAATTAGAATACCAGAAAAAAAGTTTTGAATCATGTGTTAAAAATTGAGAATCGTCTGAGGGTATTTCAACCTACGAATGCAGAAAACAGTCCCTTTCTTTTCTAAATTCTACATTTGAGTTGATTATGTTAAAAGGGAGTAAGGTAATTTCAATAGTAGTTGCACCCTATGCATGTTAGGTACATCCAGGAGACCAGAGACCTCTGCTGGAAAAGGGGGGTGAATTACCTAGCAAGGCTGTAGGCTGTGCCTTTGCTATACCATTCAGTCAACTTGGTACAGTTAGCCTTCCATTCACTTATAATTTTTTCTTCAGTTAGTTTTGCAGACACTTTTAATCAGTATAACTGCAACTCAAATGTGAAATTCCATGGGGAACTTCAGCAGGGTCTCTGACAAAGCATTTAAAAGTTTAGAGAAGTGGTATGCTGAGAACATGCGATGCTCTCAAATTGGACATAACCACATGCTTTTTTCACCTTCAGCTGCTTCCATTTCCACAGTTGTTCTTTTTCCTTTTGCCTCTTACATACTGACATAGTAACCTGGCACTGCAGACATTAGATTAGATCTCTGCAGACAGAGCAGAAATAATATGACTGAATATCTTGGGTCAAAAAATGGACCATTAACAGGAAGAGAAAGAGCCTGGGCTCTGCTCCCACTTTAGGTACTGCAGTAGCACCCTGTTAGCACCAAAGAGAAAGGTCTCAGGGAGGAGATCCAGTGGAGGGACTAACTGCAGTCAGACTGTCAAAACACAGCTCTGGAGAACAGCCTTATTTCACTTAATGATCAGATATACTTTAATGTAGACATTGTGGCAACATAAACAAATTATTAGTATCTTTCTACAGTTACACAAGCAAAAGGCACTCCTGCAGACCATGCAGGTGAGATTCAGTAAATGGACAAAATTTCTAGTGGACATCATTTAGCATAATTTATGAAAAGTATTATCTCATTTTCAGAAGGAAAATGAGATAATCTTCTGCTGTTAAATGCCAGCAGAAGCTACAGTCAATGAGCACAGCTGAAATCGAAGTCATTTGCAGATAAGCATGCAAAATTCTACTTACCACCTTTACCATGCTATTACTGCAAAACAGCACAAAAAAATTATGCAGTTCTTGCCAATTCACTAACCACCAGCAAAAGCAATATAGATTATACAGTTTTTGTTTTTTTCCTCCAGTACCTAATGCTTATACTCTCAGAAGACAGAATTACCATTTTCTGATGAAAAGGCCTGGAAAAGCAATGTGACAGCTACTTAGTGGCAGTGCTACAAAACAATTTAAACAGGCAATAATGAATATCACATCTAACCAGAAGTGCTGGCTGCCTTTAAAACAGCAAAATGTATTTACACAAACTGGCATTTATCTGGAGAAGACCAGTATACCTGCACTTCCAGAAAATACACTAAACTCTTAAGGAAAGTCAGTCAGTTTTGGTTGTAAGAATATTTTAAGATCTGTTAGGAGAACACTACAGATGACTTCACGTTAGTCACCTAATAGACTGATGCAACATCATCCCAAAAGAAAAAATACCATCTGCTTGCAGTTACTTCTTACGGCATCCTGAAGTCTCAGTACAGAAAATGAAGCAATTTCTTCCTTCCCAGTACCTGCCCAAAACCATTTGGAGCAAGACCTGACCAAACAGCCTGAAGTAGGACTACAGATCTCCCAGATTTTGATCTCCCCTTTGCAGAGACATGTAGTAAGTGTAACAGGACAGAGAAGGATAGGAAAATAGCAACACTGCTTCAACTTGTAAAGAGTCTCTTCCCTCCCCTTTGGGCTGAAGGCTCTGGCAAGTGGCTGTTAGATCATTTGGACAGTTGATTCTTCTTTCATATCTTGGAAGGACAAGGGCAGGCAGCTGTCACTTGATTTTTTTCAGAGTCTTACATTCCTAGAGAATGTTAACATCAACTAAACAAATAGGAACTTTAATGTCACCTTATACTATAGATCCTGACATAGCAGGGACTCATCAAAAAGAGCAATTAGAGGACAAATTAGCAGGTTGGTTGTTTTTTTTTTTCCCCTGTCTGTAGAGATTCCCATTATTTCACCACAATAACACATGCACCTAAACTACACATGCATCACTACACTATGCTTTAAAACATCCTCTCAAACACAACTCTGTTCCAAACTCCCTGCTTTGGGCAAAGAAAAACGTTTCTGCATTTTATATCCAAGCTTTCTATTCAGACAACAGAAAAGCGCAAAAGTCTCCAGAACCTAAGAGAAAAGTTTAGTTTCAGTGCCTCTGTAGCATCATGCATAGTTACCTCAAGTTTGTAAAAAATAAAATAAAAATAAGCCATTGGACCTTCTGCACTTATACTGCAAAGATTTTTGCACCAGCACAGAACATCACCATTTGCTTATTCCTGATGCAAAGATGCACTACATGATGCACATTCAGCAGCATGCCAGAGCTGCTATACCAACAGGACAGAATGACTGTCACTTTTGCACAGCAGAACCAAAGCTTTCCAAAAATACTGCACGCACACACAGCATAGTTAAGTCTGCAAAGATACTGCTTGACAATTCTGGAGTTTTAGATCTATGCATCCTGGTCAGCACTGTTCCCCTAAGGAAACATAAGAAAGCTCCATACTTACTCAAAAGGAAGGAAAAGGAAAAAAAAAAAAAAAAAAAAACCCAAAAAGCAGGATTTTTCCAGAGGAACTCCAAAAAAAAAAAAATGGTAGCACCTGTCACAAACAATCTCAGAGTCACAAAGATCCAGTTCTCCAGGTTTAACCATAAAGCAGTTTTGTTCACTATATGAGTTCTGAAGTCTACAAGATATTAAGCAGAAATTTCACACTCTCCTTCAACCATACTACCCTGATACAATTTAATTCTTTGTGTTGAATGAAACAATTACTCTTGGAGAAAAAAGCTGCTGGTGAGTCATCAAGGACCGTATCATAACACATCAGTTATGTGACAGGGAAGAGTTAAACAAGGATTTTTAGTCAACCTTCCTTCTGCAAGTTAATACTTGCAGATTTGAACTTAAAAGAATATTTAACTTTAGAAATAACACTACTATGTACTTTTTTTTTTAAATACACAGTTTGTCACTTGAAATTTAAATTTCTGAACTAAATGCAACAACATTCTTACCTACTATCTCTAAGGTAAAAAAAATTTGTACTCTTTATACATATTTTAGAAAGAAAAAATGAAGGTTTAACATACCTGCATGTTACGTAAAAGAGCAACTCACTGGACACTCCAAAATAATGCAGCATATAAACTGTTTTATACTGCCTGTAAATATTATTCTAATTGCATTAATTTTACAGTAGGCCCATTCACATTACACTACTAGAAAGCTAATCTAGAGGACTTTGTCATTATTATTATGGCAGTACTTCAAGACAGCTGACTGTGAAGCACCAAATGATGAAGTTGTATATTTGAGTAAGCATATTTTTGGTCCTCAGTTGAGTTGGAGATATTTACTGATACCTTAATTCCTCTTCTCCTTCAACAAAGAAGAAAAGGCTATCTGCCACAGGTAAAAGCTTAACAAGACACAAAAATATCACTTAAAAGACATTGTGCTTCTGCACATTGACTACTTGGGTTGGGAAAGTCAGGGGCTTGGAGCACCATATGGAAGGCTAGAAAGATTTCTTGTCAAGAACTAGTTGTCTTGGAAAGAATAGGAGGAACTGAGAAGCTAACAGACTCTATAAAGGATAGAACAATGCTAAAACTCAGAGAGCTACATGGAAACAAATGCCAAGTTCTTCCCAGGCACATTAGTCATGGGACTACATTCTCACCTGCCTGTGGGGTAGAGATTTTTTGGAAGGACATCTTTCTGAAGGTGCTCAGAGATAGAGGAAATTGTGGATGCTTAGCTACTTATCCCCATTTGAGGGTCAAGGGATCAGCACTGGAGGAGTTGGAAGCCAGGTACATCAAAGAGCATGCTTGTACACCAGTGTGCATGCAGTTAGAATTTCAATTTTATCTATAGACATTTAATAACCAACAAGTTTTTCAGTTCAACAAATAGCATTCAGGAAGTATTTGTATTTGACAATTATCTTCGCAAATACTTATTCAAATTATCTTTGTTTACTCTTTAGCAACGCTCAAATCCTCTTCATCTTCCTGAAATACTGAACTGTTGTTCAATTACCCAATTCTTCAACAATGTATTCATTGAGAGCTTCTTAAGAGAAGTCAAAGACAGGGGAAAAAAAAACATTCCCAGACTCCATAATTTCTCTGTAGTTACAATGACAGTACCTCAAGAAAATGATAAACGCAAGCAGCTTTGACAGCTTGACCCATAGTTAAACGTCCTTTACACTAAACAGCATATAAAGCATAATTAATACTCTTGGTCCAAGTCAGTGAAATATTCAAGACTGTACTTGAATCACTTTTATGAGTATGGCTTTTCCACCAAATCTGACTTAACACTCTCAAACATGCTAGTAGTTTTTGAAATAGCTCTTTCTTTTCATTTACTGCTCTACTTCAATGCAATTCTGACCACTGGAAGTGCCTTTGATACAGAGTAGTTACAATTTGATTCATGATCAATTAACCAGGTCAAGCCACAAAAACCTGACTCCCATCACTGCTATTTCCATGTTTGTAGAACTTCGTTTAGCACAAGAGATTTATTTCTGGAATACAAGATAACAGAATTCTACACGAACAACCATCAGTATACAATTTTAAAACTGCTAGATTCTTTAAAAACTGCATGTCCACACTTCTTAAAAACAGAAAGTATATCAGAGTAACAATGCAAAAGAAAGGGAAGAAAGAAAAGAAAAAGATGTCACTGTCCCCAGGAACCATGTCTAGTCACGTTTCAGTCAGTCAGTCAGTCGAGGGTCATGTCATTATTTAGTTCTGCAGAAAAAACACAAGCACAAAAATAGTATCAAAAAGCAACATACCTATTTGCGTTACAACAGCCTAAGTGAGAAAGGCTTTTAATACATTCAGAAGAATAATATTAAGTATCATATATGTGTCCTCTTTTTTAAGAAGGAAAGTGCCTCATTCCGAGCGAGTGCAAGTCAGCAATTTTCCTACAGTATAGCTGATAAAAAAATATTTGAAAAATTATTATTTTGGCATATTTTTCAACTTCTATGTAATTACTACTTTAAATATTTTTGCACAGCAGTAAGTCATTATGCATACACATTAAACTTGAATTTTCATTTAAAAAAATTTAAGTGAATAAATACAATGCAAATCAATTCAGGGATTTGTGATTCTGTGATTTGTGTTAAAAGGCATTTTCTAAATTCTGAATTTTTGTTTTTAAACATTTTCTACAGCAGTAAGAAGGTAAAAGTAAGAAGGATGCCAAGTACTCCTTTCACTTATCTCAGTAACCTTCACCAATAGCCAAACCCTCAGTGAATTTGAAAATCCTGCACAATCATTTTCATGCTCTGATGTTAGCAGTGTTTGGAAAATTAGAGAGTAAGGCAACAATCCAGTTTTAGTAACAAAAAGAACTGTTTAAAAACAGGACAGTAGAGCTAATCATTTCATTCTTTCCCTCCCTCCTCCCTCATTAATACAGTGGACTAAGTAGCTTCTGCAGCCAATGGAAGTCCACTGTCTTGGAGCAATAACCACAACTTTCCACCCTGTACTTGCTTCTCATCTATGACAGACTCCCAAATATTCTTTGTATTGCAGTGCAGTGTAAAACACTAACCAAGTTTATTGACATTTTAAAGCAGAAAGCACCATCATGCATTCAGTTTCAGTTTTTAAATATCCCAAACCACAAAAATAAATACTGTTAGCCTAGAATCAAGACACAATGCTAAATTATTTATGTTTGCAAAAATGCATGATTTTTCCTATATAAAGTCATCTGACAGGTAATTACCCTTAGAAAGAGCCACGTCTTTATTCCTACTCTGTGAATACAGAATCACAGAGTCGTAGGGGTAGGAAGGAACCTCCAACAGTAATCATGTCCAACCCCCCTGCCAAAGCAGGCTCCCTACAGCAGGTGAATACATCAGGCATCAGCTTCCTGCCACAGGATCCTATATATTATCACTAAAAAAAAGTAATTAAACAACACATACCACCTCTTCTCTTTATTTGAGCATATTTACAGATTAAGAATGGGTCATGTCTTCAGACTCAGTCCTCCTAAACTCAGGTTTCAGACTATAAATCATTCTTTGGTCTGTTATCATTCAGACAGATAACCTTTACAACATGAACACTAATGCTTTCTCTAATACTAACATTCCCTCCTACTACATCCAAGAATTTCTCACTAAACCCAAGAATTCTCTCAACTCTTAAATTGTTTGCATAGCAAGCAATTAACTACCTGAAAACTCTAAATCACTTTCAGTCATTACTTTCCAGAAAGCCAATCTTATAAGTAATAGGCAGTGTCATCTTCGCTCAGGACACAACTGCACCCTGCAATTATTTTTTTCAAGAATTAACATTTTCTGAGGTTTATTACTAACTCTGGATGTTTTTATCATATCTATACTTTTATAGTAAGAAGTAAGTTTTTTTGCAATAAAGACAGAATTGATTTTACATTACACTTCAAATCATAGCTTCCCCTATAGTGACAGAAAGATTTGATCTTTTATTATTAGAAGTTTAAAAAAAAAATAATCACATTTAAGAAAAAAACTTTGTAAATAAAAATAAAAACAAGGGTATGAATTGCATTTACTGGAACTGACAATTTTCACGTTTCAGAAGAGTTTTAGCTCCAATTCCATGCATTTGTTTTTTGTTTGTTTGTTTGTTTTTAAGTGATACATAAAAAGACCTTCAGAAACTGCTGCTTATCAAAAGAGAAACATGGAAGTCGTTAGGAAAAGAGGGAGAACCATGCAGGTGAAATCTTTTTTGGCCTTTATAACTCCCAGGTCAAGGAAAATACCCACACACTGAAATGACAAGGAGTGAAACTTCCATGTAAAATATTGATGTGGAGAGAGTTGGGATTTCAAGTGATGTTTTTAGAATGAGAAAGGGAGGGAAAAAAAAAAAAAAAAAAAAAACAACTGGTTTTGGGGGTTTTTTTTTTTGTTCTCTCTCTCTCTCTCTCTCTCTCTCTCTCTCTCTCTCTCTCTCTCTCTCTCTCTCGCAGTAGAAATCTGGTCACTGAAATTATCTGGAACCATACTCTTAATGGCCTACTAAAGAAGTAAACCAGTGTTTCATACGAACAAGTGAATTACGGTTCCTGAAGTCTGGAAAACCTCCATATACAAGCTCTGCCACTTTTTATTGGCCATGTCATTAATTAAAATATTTAAACTTAGCAGTTCAAACATTCACCTCACCACACATTCTGCAGTATCTTCTTCACCATCACACATTCCAGCTACCTCTGTTATTTGAGAGTCCAGATCCAGTCCCAAATTACTAAAGTTTTTTTGGTTTCACTTAGCAACATTCCCACAGCCATTTTTTTTTACCCCTTCTTTCATCTGTCCTTTCCGGGGCTAAACTCTGCATCCTTACTCAATATCGTACTCAGGGCACGTGTTTGTAATGAAAGAAAGACGCACACAAGCTGGTCTCAATTACAACATTTATTTCTCAATACTCTTTCGATTAGACCTGATACTTTTATGTACATAAAGTTTCTATGAACATCCAGATTGTTGTTAATTGTTTCATATTTTTAGAAACATTAGAAAAATAAAGACTTCTTCACTAAAATAAAAGTTTATGTATAGAAGTATATACACACCCGTACACATACACACACACACACACCCTTTAAGTTAGATCTATTTCTAGCTATCAACCAACTTGAAATTTAAAAATTTATCATGATACAACTTCAAAATACTTTGCTTCCAACAATTTAAATAACTGAACTTCAGCTTACACAAGCACTCTGACTGGGTACTCACCTACTTAGTAGGTTCTCTGACGTTTGTTAGATTCCTCTGTGGGGGAGTCTGCCAACCTTACTTTAAGTCTGACACCGTTCACAATCTTGCCATGTAACGCAGTTATGGCCTCGCTGGCACTTGCTCTGTCTGCAAATTTTGCATAGGCCACATTTTTTCCAGCCACGAGATAAACTTTTATTAAATTTCCAAAACGACTGATAAAAAAAAAGAAAAAAGAACAAAGGAGTTCATGGGTTTTGCTGCAGCACTGACATCTATCATCCAATCTCAACTTTACAGAATTTGATAGCTGAAAATTCTATATTCTCACACAAATGTTATATTATCTTGTGTTATCCTCCTTGAAAAGTCCTAGCTTTCATTCCCTTGTCTACAGTTTTGCACAGGAATGGAAATAAGCCCAGAAGTCCATAGGCAAAGTCTTCCATGGAATATTACAATATAACTACAAGCATTACATATTCTTTTAGAATCACTAACGCTAATCTATGAAATAGCCACACACAGTAAATATTAAACAAATGCACAAAACCTCACCCACCCCAAATAAAAACCACCAGATAATTGCAAAGGCATCTGAGGCAATTCATTCACATCTCATTTAAATCAACTTGTTCAGCTGTGATTCATCTTTGAAAAGGTCTTGCTGAAATGACTCACAAAGCAAAAGCTGAAGTTTCATAGAAAATCTAAATCCTCAGGAGATTCCTAGACAGTTCCTTATCAAGTTTGAAGTGAAAGTCTACTTCATACTGAAGTTATAGAAGTATGAAGACCAGAAAGTCCAGTACATAACAAAGTACATATTTTGAACTCTAACAGTAGTGCATATCATTTATTTTCCCATCCTAGGGCTTAGATAATACCTTGGCTTTCCAGATAATTGCTGCAAATGCCAGCTATCAGAAAAGGGAAATGTACTCTTCAACAGCATAATAAAAATAAGCAATCAAACCACTGGTGAACAGCTGAACTGTGGATTTGATTTAAAGATGGCAAGAATTATCAATTAAGACTTTGTTTCTCATATGAGAGTAGTGTGAAATGACTGCTGAAACAGCATTAATAAGATGCAAACCATCAAAACCTATCTGGAAAAAATCTTTCTGAACTTACCCTCCTTAAATTACTGTGGAAATTTACCAGAATACTTTAATTCCTTATGGTAATCTTGTACAAGAAAGTGAGAAATTAATTAAGCTACAAGAAAAGGAAGTTCAATGTTCTTGGTTAAATAATTTTTATGAGACCAGAAATTTCACTTCTGGTTACATTTATTATAAACCTACTGCCCTGGTATTCCATTAGATGCTTGTTTCAAAAGAAGCCATTATTTACTGATCCTTTCTTATTTTTTTTCTTGGAATAGTTCTTCTGATGGCAACCCTTTTTATTTTATTTTATTTTTTTATTTTCAGCATTTAAGTACTCCACTGTTAGAAAAAATACTTAACTGTATATGAAGCCTTACCAGAAAACATCCTCCAATACAGTCACAGGTAAAGGATGAGGATGAAAAAGTACGAAAAGCCTTTCCTTCACAGAAGTGTCAGGTGGAACTTTTTTCTTGGGTGGTGGAAGCAAAGCATCGGTTTGGGGCTGAAGTAATGGTGAGCCAGAGGTTCCTCCAAATGCCTGCTGAAATAGGAGAAGAAAAAAAAAAAAAAAAACCAACTATAAATCAATTCTAGGAGAAGAAAATAGCATCATCTCACCTTGTTCAGAATTTTTGCTCCTACAACAAGACATAGATAGGCTCTAAAAGTTAAACTGAATCTTAGTTCATTTGTTTACTTTATTCATTAAATTGATTAACAAAGAAATAAGGTTAGACATTTAAAGGGAATGACCCCCCTGCCCACACACACACAAATCAACCAGAGGTATTTCTTAAATACATAGCATCTAAAGCTACTACAGAAGAAAGCAGGCAGTGCTCCTTACTGACACATCCAGAGTTTCTTAACTCAAAGAAAATGACTATTAACAGCATCCATCATATTAACTTACAGGAGGTGTCCTATACTGCTGAACAACTGTGTTATTATTTCGCAACACTGAGGTCATATGTGCTGTTACCAGTTGTGTTGCCATTTTTCTGATGAGGCTGCAAGAAGTGATAATAAATTGTTTTAGAGCAAGAACTACGTTAGTTAACTTCAGCAAGAGGAAAATAAAGATCTTCCTAATCACACGTGAAGATAAAAAAAAAACAATAATCTGCAAACTCAAGTACACAATTAAAAGAAGCTTGCATAACACTCTAAACTCAATCTGAAAGCATACATTCTACCAAGAACCCACTGAAAAAAACTCAGTTCTACATAGAGACACAACACTCCCTTGCTTTTTCCAATATTATAACAAAAAAAGAAACATTAACTCTACAGAACCCTTAACTTCATTTGAAAGGTGCCAAGGTAGCAGAAGAGACAGAAGTTTCTCTTGTCTTTTAAGAGAAAGAAAAGCACAGGGATTCAAATCAGAAGAGAGAACATTATCAAAGGAAGTTCATTTCCAGCTCTCATTCTCTAGTACTCTTTCCTTTGTTCTGATGAAAGATAAGAAAAGCAATTGCACGTTTACACAGATTCACAGCCTATGTTTTAAGGCCATGAAATCATAGAAAAGTACAGAAGAGCAAAAGGCGACATTTGCAAGAAGGATATTCTCAATGGATTTTTTTAAAGGTTAGACCAGGCATAACACTTCTGGAGTGAATTTTCCCATCATGGCTCTGCACAGTACCGTTTTTTCATATTCCCAAACAGCTCTGATGCCTCAAATAGCTCAATTTCAGTCCTAAAGGAACCTGTAATATTCACTACAGGAAAACATGTAGGTTACTTCCACGTCTACCAGCAGATATTCAGATATCTAGGTTTGAAGTAAAACCTGGCAATCCTTATACAAGTGCAAGAATCAGATCCTCAGATTTATTCTGCCCGTGCGTTTCACAAGGCCACTGTCTGCAGCAGTGCAAACACTGCTAACAGATCAAGTAAGCAATATCTGCTTTAAATACAAAGCCTCAAAAATACATTAGAGACACCCTGCGTATTACAGAGACCTTTAAGGATTCTTGCCAAGTTTCCTAACATATCATAAGAATACATATTTTAATCTTTCTTCAAATTAATTCCTCTTAATTCAAGATATTCATTATCAACTTCAAAAAATAAAACAAAAAAAACCCAACACATCAAGTGTGAAACCAATTTAGTAACACCACTGTTATCTTCTATTGTTAAATAATAAATAGTAATAGTTTTGCTCTCCAGCATACAACTTCCCAGTTCTTCTAAGTGTCAGTACTTACTCTGAACTATCATTCCCATCTTCCAGAAAAATGACAGTTAATCTGTTTCCAGGAGGATACTCAAACCCATGTAGCTTATACTTGGCATATATAGCTGATGCAGCTGTACTGTACTGAATCACAGCATACCCTAGAAATACAACACACACGGTTCCAGTGCTTCACAAGCAAATCTTAAGAACAAGATACGCTCATGTACAGAAGTAGGATCAAACTACAGGTTAGTCATGGATGCTACAAAGTTCCTAAGTCTCTTTCCCACATTGTATATTCCTTACTAGCAATATTAATATTATTTGTGAAATAAACTTCCATGAAATTAACTAGTGACAGATCAGCTATGTTTGTATTAATTTGAAAAGCTGGTAATACAGCAAAATAAGATGTGTCGTCTTGCCTAACTCTCAGGTAGAGGGATAATCTTAAAATATAGTTATTCCAACAATAGCACTGTAAAGTTACACTGAACTGAATTATTCCCATTTCACACTGTGCAGGGCTCCTTCCTGTTTTTTTCATCTATAGCAAAACAAGAACACTGAAACCAAAACAATTCTTCCCATACAAAAGAAGTTTTGTTTTGGAATGATTTCATCCCATTTACTCATGTCAGCTTTTTAAACACCCCCACACACCAAACTATTTCATGATGAGAACTCAAATGATCTAGTTTTTATGTCCTATAAATAGATGTCTAATCTGCAAGTTTTTTTCGTTCCATTACATTCTGAACTATTAACTTCACTTGACCAAATTAATGATTCTCAGGGATTTGATTATGTCCCTCCCTGAGATTCTATTAGCCTTAAATATAGTTACTTTTTTTTTTTTTTTTGTAAACTAGGGTTCAATCAAAATTGAATTTTCAGCCTTAGGCGATAGTAGTACTAACCACTGATGCAAGAAAAAGACAATTATTTCTTCTAACCACTGTATTTAGCAATACAAATAAATTGAGGCACAATTAAAAAAAATGCGCTCTTCATAGAAGAAAAAAGATTTTTGTAATTTTACTTACCATTATTAGTATGAGGATCTCGCTGAACATCACAATACTCCAGTCCTGGGACTAGATCAAAGAGGGCAAACAGCTGTTCTTGGATAAAAGGAAGCCGTGATACCACTGACAGACGTTTGGAGACTGACTCCTGAATCCTGGTCTCATTTTTTTCAAAACTACAAAACTCTGGCTGAGCACCTCAAGAATCAACACAAAAATAAACAATCAAATCCATTATAATAAGCATGCCTTCAATTCATACGTAGTTTTCATTCAAATTTCAGAAACAATCTAAGTGAATTATACACCAAAGGTCATAAGCATTTTTCATGAATGCAGGTCTTGAAATAATCAGGCAACTAGACCAAAGCATGCCATAAGAACAAGTGAAGTGAAAAGTCCACTTCATTTCTAACTCAAACATCCAATTTACCAGCTGCAGAACTCAGCTTCCTTTAGACTGCCTTCTTCCAAACTGCCCTCAATTGCGATTACAAATAATTTTCAGTATAAAAAACTGTGACTTACAAAATGGAAATACATTTCCCCTTGGTTCTTGCCTTGCGTTATTGCTATAATATTCATGTTCAAAAGATTCAGGTGACTTGTTTTTCGGTTCAGCCAAAATGGCTCGATAGCCTGAAAGAAACCATCACACATATTGCAACATCTCAGCATACTTTAAATATCTCTGAGCATATCTGCACTCTCTGAATATCTCATTCAACAGTTTACTCAGAAAAAACACTAAACACTGTCATTTAACACGTAACTCTTGCAAGTTGGCATAATCAATGATGTGGAAGTTAACTTGTGAAAGTGTCATATGTGGAACATGTTAAGTGCAAGTGAGCCTACTTACTCGTGGGAGACCATGCATCAGTATCTAAAACAACTGGGGCACGTCCTTGTGAATAACCTCATTGAGATTCAAAGCCATCTGGACGTGCTTCCAGACAAGACAAACTCCAGAAGTCCCCTCCAACCTCAACCATTCTGTGATATTTGGCAGGACTTGGAGACGCTCCGAAGGCAATCAGATGAACTTTCACAGAACTGTGACAGCTGCTCATAGATGTTTTGGGCTGATCTACATTCAGTTTATCAATAGTGCAGGTATTAACTCTTAGGCCATCTAATCCATTTCATTTCACAGAATCACAGGGTTGGAAGGGACCTCAAGGATCATGAATCTCCAAACCTCCAAACTCAAATCATAACGGAAATAAAATTGAACTGCTAATAAATATCACCCATTTTTGTAAGTATTCTTGCATAGGGATAGCAATTGTTCAGAACTTCTTATTATACACCAGGCATATTACTTAAAAAAAAAACGACCCCAAAAAACTCCCACACAACAAAAAGAAAAACAACAACAACAACAAAAAAACCTAAAGCTACATGCTGAAGTGTTTAATATTTAGTAAGTGAAGGAGGTTGGACTGGAAAAGTGCTAATAAGTTTCTCCAAAAGCCTCTCTACTGGCTGAGCAAGCCCAGTCCCTGAGCCCTCTCCTCACAGGTCACACACTTTAGCAGCCCTCCACTGGATTTATTCCAATTCCTTAACAATTGTTTGGTACCAGAGCACAAGTGAAAAATGATTGATCGTAAAGTGGGCAAAGTCTTAGTTTCCGCAATACATTAATCCTGATATTAAATGGAAGGGGGGGGGGAAAAAGAAGGAAAAAACAAGTTTCCTAAGAACAATTTTAGGCTACATTTATTCGCAACAAATTTATTATTTATGGATTATATTTGATATATAGTATATGTTTGATTAAAAACGTTCTTATTTATTTATTTATTTAGAAATGAGGTTGTCCTCGGTATGAAATCCAAATGAGAATACCCAATTTAAGACAAAAATATCAATTTCTACACTCTTTTCACTGATTTTCCTTCCAGGGGCTAGTGATGCAAGAACATTATTAGGTGAATGTTAGTAATACTATTTTTATTTGCAACAGAACTTTTGTCTCAAGATGTGTTTACATGCCATAAATAATTTACCTGCAAGCAAATGTAAAAATTAAAGGTATATTAATGATGGTACACATTTATTGTGAAAGGCTTTAACAAGTTCAATTAGATTCTTACTTCGATCACACTCCTCAATTGCTCGGGCAGCTTGCGATGGTTTTAAGTACCGCACATAGCCCAAACCTTTGCTTTCTCCAGTAGTCTTGTTTTTAATGATGCTGCAATACTCAATGTCTCCATACATCTAGAACAATTAAGAAACGTATTAACTCACAATATTTGAAAATGCATTAAAGTTCCACGATTTAAGCTCCTCTGAAAAATTAAGAAAAAAAGCTAACAGTGAATCGGCACCTTAAACTTCTCTCGCAGATCTTCCTCTGTATAGGTCTTTGGTATCATAACAAAGATTCGTGTAAGCTCCTCATCTTCAACATCTCGGTGGCTTCCAGAAGCTCTTGACTGTGCAATAAATACCTAACAAAAATCACATAAACATGAATTACTGGAAAAAGAGTCCTAGCCACATCTCAAGTCAGTTTTTAAGCAAATCTTTGCATTTTTCGCTCACGTTATACAGATTTCCTAGTAAGAAAAAAACATCTCTGATCACACATGCACCTGCAACAGAAGACCTGTAAGTACAGGACACCCAAAACAGTTTCTCAAACAGGACAGAGGGCAGCACAAGTTTCCATCAGGGATAACGCAGCATGGCAAGGAATATTAAAACCCGGTCCAGTAACACTGCCAGTGCCACAGAAGGCAAATGCTTTATTGCAACTGGTTAGCCCTGGTATAGCAGTCTTCACAAGAATGAAAAGAGTGCACAAACTGAAACAAATGAGTTGCCGTGGGAAATTGGCAGCTTCAGTTTCCAGCTCAGCTAGAACACAGTCTGCAAATAGCACTCACTTAAGCATAGCTTCTCAGACCTGTAGCTGAGAATATCTTAGTTTTCAAAACAAGCTTTACCTAAAAGCCGCACCCTGGAAGTTATCCCAGAAGATATCCAGGCAAAAAAAAAAAAAACCCTAAAAACAGTCACAACCTCCAAAACAAGCTCTGTGTGCAAAAGTAGCAACTGGTTTCACAGAACACTGGAATTGTGTTTTGTAATGGTTGTGCAGGAAAATAAGGCGCACAGCTCAGATTTCCTGACTTCTAACAGCAAGTTCCTCACGAAAGACTTAGCTAAGTGCTTATCCTTCCCCCACAGTAAAGTGCATGGAATCTTCAGTGTTCAAAGTCGTTTCAATTTTATCATTATCTGAGGAATGCAAAAACAATTCAAGAGGCTGAAACCTACCATCACGTGCCGTAGATTTAAAAACGCAAACAGCTTGTGCACGAGATACAAGACCCACATAAAGCACTCTTGCAAAGACAGTTTTATTTATAATTTATCCGTGCCAATCCCGTTTAAAGCACCTAAAATGCACTCCCTTTAAATATTTTACAGGAATTAAACGTTTTAAGATAGCGATAGAAAATAAACAGGATAGTTTTCAGGCACTGTATTTCACCCAAGTCCGCAGCAGCTCTCATGACCCATGAGGCCGAAGGCAGTACCTGGGCAGCCCGCAGGGCCTCGCGAGTTGCGGCCCTCCCGCCGTGCCGGGATGGATGCGGGCTGAGAGGGCGGCCCGAAGGCTCCGGCCCGACCCGGCCGTACCTTGATAGGCTTGGTATCGGGGGCCAGGCTGCGGCCATGCATCTCCTCCATGGCCCGGCAGGCCTGCGAGCTGCGGGCGAACTTGATGAAGGCGATGCCTCGGGACTCGTTGGTGCGCTTGTCGCGCAGCAGCCAGATGTTCTGGATGTCCCCGAACGGGGCGAAGCGCTCCCGAATCAGCGCCTCGCCCGCGTCCTTGCCCAGCACCACGAAAACGCGGCTGTTGGGAGGCTCGTCCAGGCACTCTGCCGACAGCCGGAATCCGCCGCTCTCCTCCATGGTGGAGCCACCGCTCGGCTCGCGGGCCGTAGAGGAGCGCTGGCTCTGCTCCGGGACGGGCGAAGAACTGCCACCCGGCTCCTTCCGCCGGGGAGACAACATGGCCGCACCCCGCCCCCACGCCGCGCCACGTCCCCGCACGGGCCGCTGGGACGGCGCGCAGAACCCACCACCTCTTGCAAACCCCCCCACACCCCGAAAGGAGGGTGTAGTGCTTAGTCCCGCCCCTCGGATCTGCCACGCGCCAATCAGAAGAGAAGGCGCGGAGATCTCCTCTTCGCGATTGGACGCCTCTTCGTGACACCTGCCCCGATGGCAGGGCCGAGGGCGGCGCGAGGTGGGACCCAAACGGGGTTGGATGGGGTGCGGAGGGTGACGGTGTTCCGCTTCGCCTCGCTCGTGCCGCCAGCTGAGGCGCTCGTTGCGATGGCTTCCTCTGAGAAAGTCTTAGCTAAGGCTCGGTTAGCTTCTCTGCATAAGGATGGTGTCGTTGCTTGACCGCCCAGCTAAAAGGCTAACGTTAAAAATGGGTCTCTTGAAGGAACACAGCCTGAGAACAACTTTTGTTTTGGGGTGTCCTTGGGGTGTTGTTTCTTTTTTGGTTTGTTTTCGGTTTTCTGGTTTTTGTTTTTTTGCTTGTTTTTGTGTTCTTGTTTTTTTTTTTAATTGTTTGGTATTTTTTATTCAGACTAGCTTTTTCTGCTAGTCAACTCTGCAGATTACATGTAGGAGGAAAAAAAACACTTCAGTGTTTCTGGATGTTTGGTACCTGCCCAGCAGCTGCGTTAGCAATTAAACTTCAGTTGTTTTATAAATGGATAAAGAAAACCAATGGACAAAGGAAGGGCAGCTGAAGTCATCTACTTGAGCTTGTGCAAGCCCTTTGACGTGCTCCCACATCACATCCCCATCTCTAAACGGGAGAGATGTGAATTTGAAGGCTGTTTGGTGGATAAAGAATTGGTTGGGTGGTTGCAGCCTGAGGGTTGTGCTCCACCGTTTTATGTCCAAATGGAAGATGGTGATGAGTGACATCCCACAGAGCTCGGTTCTGGGACCAGTACTTCTTAACACATTTATCACTGACATAGATGATGGGATTAAGTGCAGCCTCAGCAAGTTTGCAGATGCCAGCAAGCTGAGTGGTGCCACTGACACAATAGAAGACACAATAGAGAGACACCATCCAGACGGACCTGGACAGGCTTGAAAAATGTGCACTCAAGAACTTAATGAGGTTCCACAATGCCAAGTGCAAGACATTGCACTTGAGCTGTGGCAATGCTGGGTATGTGCACAGACGGAGAACTCAGAGCTCCTGCCCAGTACTGTTACGGGGAAAAAACATTACCTTAGAAGAGAATTAGAAGAGAATTTTTTGAAAGGCTAACTTTTACTAAGATAAATGGCAAAACCCCGATGCTGTAGTGGTAGTTGAAGACTTTTTAAAGATGCTCTCTAGACTGTATATAAATAAATAAACAAATAAATAGAAGTAGAACCGAATGGTGAAAAGTAAACTAATATAGTTCTATACACCAAACAACACCAGGAAACACAACTGTTTTCTTGGTTAAATCCACAACTCCCTTTTTTATCCATACTTAAATGAGCTTATGTCATGGTGTAATTTGATAACATTGATTCTGCATCTTTGAATGCTGTACTTGAATATTTCCCAGTTGGCATGCCATCATCAATACAATTCTAAGTTATCTTGAATACAGCAAAACATTGTTCCATTATTGCTTTTGAGACTTCAGATATCTTGCTTCTAATTGCATTATTTAGAAGTTTTATTGATTGCATTCTTATGTGACCTATCACTGCAATTACATATCTACACTGATTAGACCTTGTATTTTTCAGACCCTTCTGGTATTACTTTAACAATTAAGCCATTCTTTTAAATTAATCTATGTGGATTTTTTTGAAAGGGTGATACAATACATTTCGTACTGGCATACAAAAGCGTCCATGGTAAAGACACTCTTAAAGTGTCTGGAGTGTCTCAGGAGTTTTTGCAAAATATCACATCAGAATTGTGATGTGGATATTGTTGTTTTTTGTTGTTTTTTAGTTTGGTTTGGTTTTGTTCTTTATCATCTTTCCTTGTCCAACCCTCTGATTTTGAACATGTAGTGCATGAATATGTAGTTATTATTTGCTGAAGCACATTTACAATAACATTTGTGAAAACAGTCTTCAACGTGTTCTGCATTTCTTATTACAACATTTTCCAACCTAATATACGCTTTTCAGGATATTGCCATATTTGAATCTCAAGAGTATTTTTTATATGGTTTAACTCAAGACATGCTTATGTTTACACTGTTATAAAATAAATGCACAGTCTTAATAAATCTTAATGAAACAAGGTCCATATATATCCCTAAGTAAAGGGGAAGTAATCACAACTTTTCATTTTCCTGAACTGGAAAAGCTGTTTTGATGTTAGATTAGAGGACATTTGCTGATTTCTGAAAAGTCCTTCTATATGAATTATGATAGATGATAATATTTAATCAGTTAACATTACAATTATTCATCAGATATTTTTATGGCTATTTTCATGTGTTTGTTGATTTAGAAAATATTGAGATTTGTATTTCTCTGTAGCTTTGTGTATGAGAACTGCTGAGTCCCGGCCTGAACCTCTGATTGATCACCTGAGGCGAGCCATGAGTCAGCCAGAGGAGCACAGGTGAAGGCAATTCAGCTGCGCTGCCAGAAGGGGTGGAGCCAGGCTGCATCCCTCCTAGACCTATTTAAGAGCTGGCTGCCAGTGGGGAAGGATCTCTTCTGGAGATCTGCTCTGCTGGTGTTTTGTGAGTGAGCTCAGGATGGGGTAAGCCTTCTATTTATTCTCTTTTGTTGTTATAGTCTACTTTGTTTAATTCTCTTGTTTATTTTGCAATTATAACAACCTAATATTCTTTGATTATACACTTTGCTTCTATGAGATCAGGGTGAAGTATTCTTAAAAGTTTCATTTCTGGTTAGGAAAAACCATCACATCCCTACTGTGGTGGCAGCTTCCTTCCTGCTCTCAAAACATTTAACAGCATAGATTGGAGCAAGGGATTGGAGTGAGGGACATTTTGGATATGTCATAGGAGTTGAAATCTGCACTACAGAGACATCAAAGTTGCACCATGGTCCTCAGGGAAATCTGGAGAAGTTCTAAATAACTCTTAAATAACTTCAAATAACCCTTATTCTCACCATGGAAGTAACACTGTAAGAGCAGTTACGTAGCTCAAAACCACCTTGACTTCTACAGATACGGCCATCAACAACCTGGTTACATAAGAAATTGTGCATCTTAACAAGTTCAGGTCAAGACTTCTTTAGTTTGAGGTGTTATTTTTATTACTGTGCTAGACAAATATTTTCTAAGAACTGTAGATGATGATAAATGTTGCCAGTAACAGCAAACTATTTCTCTATAATGTCATTCTATTTTTATTATTATTTTTACATAGATCAAAATGGGTGATGTTGAAAAAGGCAGGAAGATCTTTATTCAGAAATGTTCTTGGTGCCATATAGTTGGAAAAGGTGAAAAGCACAAGAGAGGACCAAATCTTTGGGGTTTATTTGGCCACAGAGCAGGACAAACTTTACCTACTCAGAAGCAAAAAAAGAAGAAAGGTAAAGCTAATGTGATATGAGGTGACAAGCAGTGCAGCTTGGAACGTATTTTGGAAAATGAAAAAAAAAAAACCAAAAAAAAACAAAAAACAAAAACAAAAAACCGTTTTCTTTAGTGGTACAACATTGAGGCTTATTCACAGTGAGTTAACTCATAGCTGTCTGCTTTGCATAAATGTGAAATGAATCTGAACTGTAGCTTCAGAAACAAAGTCACTCAGCTTATAAATTAAAAAGAAATTGTACCAGTATTTATCATGCCAGGTCAAAACGCATGCAGCTTTCCCAAAACTGTGCAGTATCAATAGGCAAATTATCATTTCTGTTAAGGGCGCTTCTGGATTTTGTTTGCTCATCACTACCCTCTGCTGGCATCGTGGTGCGCTGCACTTGTTTTGCTCCTACAAATGGGAAGTAACTGTGTATTCTATTTCAGGCGTTCATTTTTAATGAATATTATTTTAATCTAAATTATATTCAAATGAAGTTATTAATTAAAATTACAGTTATATGGGATTCTTTCTTTTTTTCTGGTTACTAGGTGTTTTAGAATTTGACTTTTTTAAAATTTTCCAGTGGTTTCTGGGATGTGTTTTTTGACATTGGCTTTGTGGTGGGACTTCCTTCGTATAAAATATCATATATTTCAACATGTATTACCTCACTGAAAATTTAGTGAACAAGTAATATGAACGTTAGTACTAAATTTTAAAAGAAAACCAACAAAATGATATCTGAGTCGATTGTACATGAGTGTGAGCATATCGTTATCATTAGGTACTTCAGTAGGTTTCTGTACAACATTAGGTGTCTGCTGATAGGCAGAATTCAGCAGGGTTGAAAGGAAACAATAATACTTTTTCAAATTCTCTTTCAATAATCCAGGTCCTTTTGCAGTCCACAGCTTTGATTAATTTAGTGTCAATCTGTATACAGCCATTTGCAGCTGGATCTTCTAAATACTGAAATTACAAAGATATTTACATAGTTCGAAAGCACTGTGTAGTTTATGTGAACTGGCACAAATAACTGCAACTATGAATGATGAACTGCAACTGTCAATGATGGAAAAAAAGGGATTTATATTTGAATTACTTAAGTGACTCAAAGATGATTTGCATTTTCTGCACCCTATATTGTGTGTCACTTGTGTTCAAATTCCCCTTGGACTGTGGGCACATTATGCTCAGGAGCACCACCACACCTTGAGACTCTTGGTAACTGCCAGAAATGTGCCATGTTAGATTAGCCTTACATTTTGCTGTTTTACTTCTGTTGGCTTTTTTTGTTTTATTTTGGGTTTGTTTTCTTTTTTAAAGTTACCTGGAGTGAGAGTACACTGATAGAGTATTTGGAAAACTTAAGAAATACATTCCTGGTACAAAAATGATTTTTGCTGGACTTAAAAAGCAGAATGAAAGAGCTGAAGTTATTGCATACTTGAAAAAAGCAACTTCTTTGTGAACCATTGCTGCTGCAGCTGTAATGACAATGAAAAAACATGTTGAATTTTGAGCTGCTGTGTCATGTTTTAGTGTTTTGATATTGTTTATTAGGGCTTTAAAATCAAATAAAAGCATGGTTCAGGGTGCTACATCCTCAAACAACTTCAAGAGGTGAACATTACTTACATTGAATCATGTATTTCATACATCTTTATGGAGTACACTACAGAACATATTGTTCCTTTCCCTAAGCAGAGAGCCCAATTCTGCAACAAGTTATTCAAAGACCCACTGAAACTTATTTGGTTATAGCTAAGCAAACAGGAAGGTCTCTATATTAGATTGGACCACTAAATAAAGTTTTTCTTTTAGAGAAGGTTTTCTTTTTGCTCACTGTATTGTCAGAGCTCCTTCATGTACTAAAATGGCATAATCTACCAGTCGTCTTTCAGAGTTGTGGATTTTTTTCTCCACTCAATGCCAATATATTGAGGTTTCCTCTAATGCGTAGAATGATTGAGTGCTGACTAACTCTAGCAACTGAGATTAGTAATATTTTCACTAACTTGTTGCTGAAGGTGATTACACTCCTCCTAAAACCTCATGAATTCTCCTTTACCACTTGAATCAAGATTTACAATTTAATTATCTGTTTATACAAATGATTTAAAAATGATTAAAATGTATCCCACTCCAGCAAGGTTTCCTTATGTCATCACAAAAAGCAGCATTAGTACAAAACTAATTTGCTGTCATGTCTGTGCCCAGGTACTCATCAGTACTGTTCCAGTGCTTGCCAACTAGGGGTTTCAATTAATTGTCTTAAAGAGCTCCAGAGTGGTGAGTTCTGTATTTAGCAAAGGCAGTAAGTGAAAGTGAGATAAATCATTCTATGACACAAGTGAATGAGTACCAGCTTTACTTTCCTTATGTCCTGTAGCTCTAAGATACATTCCAGTTTCAAGTTTAATATTTAGGACTTGCTCTGACTGTTTACAGACAATTCAAGTAAAGCATCTGCCTGAATGACAAAGTTTCCTCAGGTACTTTCCTCAACTGCATTTGAAGGGTGCTATGCCCCTACTTTTCTCAATAGAGAAACAGACTGCCTGACAAATGCACTGATGCTTCTGCTTGTTGTCCTGTTAACGCATCTGTATGCTTTGTGCCTTAGGAGACCAGGCTACAAAGCTGCCATGCTGTCAGAGTTGGCATCATAAATCCATACCAACAATCAGTTCACCATACATGAGATGCAGTGGCAACATACCTTTAGAACTATGACAGTGCACAACAAAACCATGGAGCTGACAAAATCCACGTGCCTTTTTGTCTCTCTCAAGAAAAGCTGTAGTTAATCTATTTATCTTAGGCCCATGCTAGAAGCTGGAGCCCAGAGTACAGTGTGCTCAGTGTACTCAAGCTGCAAACGGAGGCATCCTCTGACATGCGCTAGGCTGCAGGCAAACCCAAATTCTCTCCTAACATCCGCTGAAACAACAGGTCAGGCTTCTAAGGAGGGCTTTACTGCAACAGCTTGCAGAATAGTCTCTATGAAGAGATACACGAAAAGCTTTTTGCCTAAACTTGTAGAAACACTACATTGCCTACACACAGAACTGCCGCCCAGTACCCATTTTGTAGTAAAGTACTGGTATGAGTGCTACTACACTGAGATGGCAAAAAAACTGTGTACATACAATTATTTCAACCGTATGGAGATGCCTAAAGGGCCTCTGCTGAGAGATCGAGGTGCCTGCCTGCCAAGCGCTCAGCAGCTTAAGCTGTTTCTTTGCGCAGACGACATGTTTGTACCAGAGCTGCAAAAAGTAAATGCCAGCGGAAAGGCCAGGCGGGAACTGGCGGCTGCGGGCTAGCAGGTGCCTCCCGAGGGCGATGCTTACACAGCGGCCGCGGGCGGCGAGGCCGGCATCTCGACGGTGTCCTCCTTCCGTGCTGTAACAGAGGCTGAGGGGCAGCGATCCCCGTTCCTCGGCCGTGACAGCGTTCCAGCGGCGGGCCGAGGCGCAGGCAGCTCGGAGAAGCCCCTTTGCAGCCCGCGGCCCCGCCGCCCGCTCCCCGCGACTCTGCAGCCGGGTACCCCTGGGCGGCCGGGGCGCGGCTCCGCTCCCCTTCCCCGCCCCGGCAGCCCGCGCCTGCGCGCCCCTCTCCGCCCCATTGAGAAGCGGAGCCACCGGCGGTTTCTCAATGGAGCGCCTTCCTCCTGCCGCAGCCGCCCCGCGCGGGGGGGAGAGTAGGGGGGTGAGCCGCGGCGAAGCGGGGCCCGCCGAGGGGCGCGGAGCCCCGGCAGCTCGGAGCCGCAGTGAGGCGAGCGGCGAGCTCCTTTGTCTGCCGCTCCCCGAGCTGTCTCCGGGCCGCGGTGCCCGCAGCGCTCGCCCGACCTCTCGCTACGCGCGGCTGCGGCGGAGAGCCCCGAGTGTCCCCGCGAGCCCCGCTCTGAAGGGTATCCGGGCTGCGCGCCGCACGGACCGCCGTAGGAACGGGGAGTCCGGCGGCCGGGAATCTCCTCCGATCTCGGATTAGCCCGTCTTTTCCCAGCCAGCCCAACTCCCATTCATGAATTTCTGAAGCCGCCTTCATTCAGTCTTTACCTAGCGCATGAAAGACATTTTTCACGTGTTAGGCTCCATGACTCCGTGTTTTTTTTTTCAATCGCTTTTGCGTAGGCATCGGTGGAGCGCTGAAACGTGCTCCACGTGCGCACGGGAATAACCCCGCACCGCCTGCCTCGGTGGATGCGGCGCTGGCCGGGGGCCCGTCCCCGGCGGATGACGATATCCCCGCTGGGAGCTCCGGGCGGCGGTGGCCCCGTGGCGGTCCCCCGACTCGGCGCCGGACCAGCGGGGCACCGGGACATGCAGGCACCTCCGCTCGAGGAGCCAAGAATTCACTAGGTCTGAACGAGCTCCTTTCGTTCCGTTCGTCCCCTCAAGTGTTCGAGCCTGGCAGATGATGCTATCAATTAACCCGCTCCGACAGCAACACTCGCGCTACCTCTCCCCGCAGCGCTGGGATGCCTCTTCCCCGCACACGCGTGGCAGACAAAAGGACCCCTCCTCGTCCCAAAATCCCCGAGCGCTGCGCGCGTTCCCCTCGCCCCGGGCCCGCCCGGCCCCGCACGCCCCCCCGTTCCCGCCCCTCTCCCCCGCAACCGGGCTCTCCGGCGCTGCCTCCTCCCGCCGCCCCCCCCGCGGCTCACGCGTCCTGCCGCCGCCCTCCCCTCCCTCCCCGCCTCCCCCCTCGCTCAGTGGGCCGCCGCCTGGGTTACGCAGCCGCCGCCGCCAGCGCTGACAGAGCCGGGCAGGAGGGGTTTGCCCAAGCATCTCCAGAGGCGCGGCGGCAGCCCGGGACCGAGGAGCAGAGGAGCAGGAGGCGGGCAGCGGAAAGAATACCTGGAATAAGGCGGACAGTAATAATAAAAGGTGGCAAGAGAAGGAGGGCGCGGGAACAGCGGGGGGACGAAGACAGCCGGCCCAGCCCGGCCGCGGGACAGCAGCGGCTCCCGTCGGGGCATGGCCTGAAACGCCCCCGCTCCCCGTACCATGGCGGCCGACGGCGGCCTCGACGTGGCGGCGGTGGAAAGTTTCCTGGACAGGCACCCCGAACTGGTGGAGAGGTGGCTGAAGAGGAGAAACTCGCTTCCCAAGGCGCCCGCCGGCGGACCGTCGGAGGAGCGGCGGGTCGGCGGCGGCTGGGGCGGCTCGGGCGGGCCCGGAGCCGGGGGGCTGCAGCGGAGGGCTTCCCAGAAAGAGCTGCGGAAGAGCTTCGCCCGCTCCAAGGCCATCCACGTCAACCTCACCTACGACGAGCACGTGCACGCCCGGGCGCAGGAGCCGCTGAGCAGCGTGCGGCGCCGGGCACTGCTGCGGAAAGCCAGCTCCTTGCCCCCCACCACCGCGCACATCCTCAGCGCCCTGCTGGAGTCCCGCGTCAGCCTGCCCCAATACCCGCCCCCAGCCCTGGACTACAAGCGCTACCTCAAGGAGCATAACGAACGGCAGTTCTTCCTGGAGCTGGTCAAGGACATCTCCAACGACCTGGACCTCACCAGCCTCAGCTACAAGATCCTCATCTTCGTCTGCCTCATGGTGGACGCCGACCGGGGCTCGCTCTTCCTCGTGGAGGGGGCGGCCGCCGGCAAGAAGAGCCTGGTCTCCAAGTTCTTCGACGTGCATGCCGGCACCCCGCTGCTGCCCTGCGGCTCCACCGAGAATAGCAGCGAGGTGCAGGTGCCCTGGGGCAAGGGCATCATCGGCTACGTGGCGGAGCACGGAGAGACGGTCAACATCCCCGACGCCTACCAGGTAGGAGCCGGGCGGGACCCGGCGTTCCGCCGCCCCCGGCTCCCTCGGCGCTGGGCTCCGCCGCCCGCCCTCGGCCCTGCCTTCCTCTGGGTGCCCCCCGGGTGGGCCTCCCGGGGATGGTACGGGGGTCTCGAGAAAGGCACCCGGGGGGGGACAGCGGGGCTCGGATAGCAGCGAAACGCTACAGCTGTGCTGCCGGCTTTCTCGGGAGTGCTGGGTGGTTCCCTGCGTTTCCCAAAGTGTTTTGGAATTCGCTGAAGAAAAGTTTAAAGAGATGCTCGTGACGGTCCCAGTAATCATCTCCTCAAATCTCGGTCGCACGTAGCGTTCCCGGCCTGCCCGCTGCTGATACAATCTCTCTGCCTTCAAAGAAGCGTGTATTTCCACCTTTGCTTATGCTTGCTCAGACCGCATGGCATGCGTTTGCAGACCCTTTCCTAGGAGTGTTATATATCCATCCCTGTTATTCTCTTGGAAGGAGTTTCCCCGTGTTTTATAGAAGCTTATGTTTAAATGTAACGTAGTCCTGGCTTCGGGGCAAAAATGCTCAGGCTTCAGCATGGACAGAAGTTCCTAGCATGCAAATGCAAAACAGCGTATTCACTTTGCTGGCTCCGGGTTTACAACCCTCTCCCGCAGTCCTGGGGATTGATTCTGATATGTACGAGCATGAGGCACTGTCAGCAGTGTCAGT